CACACACACACACACACACAAAATCAATAAAATAATGGGAGTTCCCATTATGCATATTTAGTTTATGATTGCTCTGTGTTATTTGTAAAATTGGTCATTTCATCTTTGGACCGCATTATTGCACGATAATATTTTAAAGGTTGCAATTGCAATTATATTGTACTAAATATGCTTTCCAACACGCAGGCAGGGTGGATCTGTTAGATGTGACTATAATAAATCCCCTGAGATATTTATGAGTTGGAAAATGTTGACCTGTTGATAATGAGAAAATATGATGGTGGTAATGGTAGTGTTTTATCTCCATTGTGATAAAATAGAGGTTTTCCCTGGAGAAGAGATCTATTATAGCAAAGATTAGATTCTGGAAGAAAGTTAGTTAGACCATGTGAACAATATGACCTGACCTGATTATTTTATCATTTTTTATCCATTGGGATTTTAGAATCAATGCAAAGAAAATCTGAATCATGTCATCCCTTGTGAAAAAAGTAGTCCACTTAATTGTATTGAGTGCATTAAATGTATTCAAATTCTTAAAATATATATACAGATATACTTGTAATATGATATTAATGAAGCGAAAAAGGCCATTTAAGTGTACTTAAATGAAATTACATACCTGTATAAAGATTGGGTCAAAACATTACTCAAAATTTAGCCAAATGCATTTAATATAAATTTAAACTATAATATGCTTTCTTTTAATTGCAGTTAATATGCAGTTAAGTGTGTGAAAACATATTTGGTCATGTTTAGGGATGCAACTATAAAATTTTTTCAGATCCGATCCGATCCAGAAAATTCTGAGTATCGGCTTATTTCGATCCGATCCGATACAGCGCAGTTTTTTTTAAATCAATGTAGAATTTCTATACTTCTGTGTATTGACCTGATCGTCACTCTTTTGTGTGTTAAACACAATCTACTAAATATAGACAACTTCATCTTAATGAAAAATAACATGAAAAAATATATCATAATCTATGACAAAAAAACGACTCCGAGAAGTTCAAAGCGCAAAAGAAAGAGATATTGATGCGTAGTTTATTAAATCTGTGCGATAGTTTATTGAGCTTTTTCTTTTAACAGTTTTACATTTCGGTTACTGTGCGCTCTTGAAGAGAGTTTCATTGTTTTGACTGTCGTAACCGAACGGGACCTGCAGTGTGAATGCTGAATGCATGGAGGATGACAAACAGCTGCAGCGGAGAGAAGAGTTTACGTGAACTTGAATTTAACGACTTAAATATTCATCTGTACCTCACATTAAACTATGGAACGGCTTCAGAACACTTGGACTTTGACTTTATGGTACTTTATAATGTTTTTGTGGTTTCGTGAGGCTTCACAATAACACAGAATATGCAGAACATCGGATTTGGATCGGTCTCCTCTGACCGATACCCGATCCGGCAGAAAATGCCAGTATCGTAGCCGATACCGATACTGAGTATCGGATCGATGCATCCCTAGTAATGTTATATTCATTTAAAGTATATTATTTTTATAATAAGTGCTCTTTTTAAAAGTATGTTCAAGTTTACTTTTTTTTGCAAGTAATAAATATCCATATGTGTTCTGAGCATGTAGGCACCTCTTATGTTACATACTGGTACTTTTGTGTTTTAACACAGTGTACCTTTAACTTAGAAATGTTTATTTTGAGTTTGTCATTGAGTATCTCATATTCATTTTTTTATTCCTCTGTTCCCACAGTTCTATGTGCTGATCGAGTGGGCCAGATGACTAAGACGTATAATGACATAGATGCTGTGACACGTCTCCTGGAGGAGGTAAGCCATGGGAAGTGGGAGGATGGGTATTTTTTGGTGTAAAGCGTGACCCACATGTTGTGATGTAGGTCTTTCAGTGTACCATAGTAGTTCATGATTACATAAGTATCATCCACAGTCTTGCTGATTTTACCATACGTTGTTGAGAGATTGTAATTATTGTGAACTAGATATAATATCCAGGATTCTGTAAAACGTAGTAATAAAGTCTCTGAAAGTCTCAAGCTGTCCAAAAAGAACACAGACTAAGGAATTGTTTGATTGTGAATTTGAGCTAAACAGAGAACATATAGGGTCACTTTGTGTTCCTCAATTCAGAAAGAGCGGGATTTGGAGTTGGCGGCTCGTATTGGCCAGTCTCTGCTGAAAAAGAACAAAACCCTCAGCGAGAGGAACACCTTCCTGGAGGAGCAGGTGGAGCACATACGAGAAGAGGTAAGAGAAGAAAACCGAAAAGTGAGACAAGCCTGTTGGCTAATTATTATTTTTTTTAAATAAATTTAGTGGTGCCGAGATAACTTTAACTCAAAGAACCATGTCAGCATAAAATGGTTTTTCAGGACGATATGGCTCTAAAGTATTACTATGTGTAAAGAACCTTTAAAGAACATTCTTTTTTAGCAGCATAAAACAGATTTAATCTAAAATCATTCTATTTGAGTTTACAGTTATTGTTGCGTGCATACTGTGAGTGTTTGTATGCTTCCATGCAGGTGTCTCAGCTGCGTCATGATCTCTCGATGAAGGATGAGCTTCTGCAGTTCTACACAAGTGCAGCTGAGGAGAGCGATGGAGATTCTGCTTCTACCACACCGTGAGTCCATGTATTAAAGGGATAGTTCACCCAAAAATGAAAAAGCTGTCATTAATTACTCACCCTCATGTCGTTCCAAACCTGTAAGACCTTCGTTCATCTTCGGAACACAAATTAAGATATTTTTGATGAATTACGAGAGCTCTCTGACCCTCCCATAGATAGACAGCAAGGATCCTTACACGATCAAGGCTCAGAAACGTAGCAAGGAGATCACTAAAATAATCCATGTGACATCAGTGGTTCAACCGTAATTTTACGAAGCTACGAGAATACTTTTTGTGTGCAAAGAAAACAAAAATAACGACTTATTCAACAATTTGAAAAGTGAAAGTGACGTGACATGTGGCCAAGTATGGTTACCCATACTAGGAATTAGTGCTCTGCATTTAACCCATCCTTAGTGCACACACACAGCAGTGAACACACACACACACGGGCAGCCATTTTTTTGCTGCGGCGCCCGGGGAGCAGTTGGGGGATCGGTGCCTTGCTCAAGGGCACCTCAGTCGTGGTATTGAAGGTGGGAGAGAGCGCTGTACATTCACTCCCCCCACCTACAATCCCTGCCGGTACGAGACTCGAACCCGCAACCTTTGGGTTACGAGTCCGACTCTCTAACCATTAGGCCACGACTTCCCCATACACATTTGTCTCCTCCATGTCACCCTATAGCGCCATTTTGGAGAGTATCACATGCGTAAACAACGTGTCAGCTGCATCTTACACTGATACGTTGTTTACGCTTTGATCTCAGCGTAAACAACGTATCCGCGTACATATGTTGTTTACGTATGTGATACTCTCCAAAATGGTGCTATAGGGTGACGCGGAGGAGACGAATTGTTGAATAAAGACATTATTTTTGTTTTCTTTGTGCACAAAGTATTCTCATAGCTTCGTAAAATTACGGTTGAACCCCTGATGTCACATTGACCATTTTAACGATGTCCTTGCTACGTTTTTGAAAGGATCCTTGCTGTCTATGGGAGGGTCAGAGAGCTCTCGTAATTCATCAAAAAAATCTTAATTTGTGTTCCGAAGATGAACGAAGGTCTTACAGGCATGGAATGACATGAGGGTGAGTAATTAACGTAATGAACTGAATTTTCATTTTTGGGTGAACTATCCCTTTAAGTTTGAACGACACCTCAAACTGTGGAGTTCTATGATTTTTCCGTTTTGCCTGAAAATTATACAAATAGTTATTTTCAGTGAGGAGATTTCCGTGTACTGAAGTAGGCACATCTGTCTATGATTTTTTTCTTTGCAGTATTCGCAGAAATGACTTGTCTTTCACGGTCCCGAATTACCTCCCTCTGGATTCACTGCAGAAGAAACTCAAAGACCTGGAGGAAGAGAACATCGTCCTGCGATCGGAGGTGAGAGAGTGAGGCCTGACCTCGCGTCCTTCAGCTGCCCATAAGAATGCTTTGCATAACATTATTCAAAAAAGCCTCCAATCAAACTTATCAGAGTTTCAGGCATATCACATTTCCAAGACAAACACATATGTAACAGCTTCATTCTCAGATAAAGATATTTCACATCACGTGTGTGTGTTTATAGGCAAATCACTTGGAGACAGAGACCATCTCGTATGAAGAAAAGGAACAACAGCTTGTAAATGACTGTGTTAAAGAGCTCAGTGAGTAGACCCACCTATTACACCATCAACGATCATATTCCCTCGAAATGATATTAAACTGATATTACATAATCATCCTACACTAGTTAAATTCATGTATGCTATTCATTACCTTATTGTTCCATCCTTGTAGTATAACAGTTTAGTTTTTAATGACATGAACTGCACATACTGAGGGGCTAATCTATTTTTTGAATGGGGATTGGGGACTTTCCATGGTTTTTGTTTACCAAGGGTGAGTTTGACACATGAAGTCTATCTCTTCCCCTTTAGGAGATGCTAATATACAGATCTCCACGATTGCGGAGGATCTGGCTAAGAAAACAGAGGATGCCTCTCGCCAGCAAGAGGAAATCACACACCTTCTCTCTCAGATCGTCGACCTGCAGAAAAAAGCCAAATCTGTGAGTTCTCCTCACTGTACAGTAGACGAGATTAATACACAGATCTTTGGTTTCAAATTGGTCATATAACACAAAATATAATGTTACAAATCTAAAACTAGATTAAAAAACTTGGGACGGTTACTTTAGAAGTGTAATCGGTTACAGATTGCAAGTTACCCTATTTAAAATGTAATAAGTGGTGTAACTATTTCAGTGACTTTATTAAAGTAATGTAACTGATTACATTTCTAATGTATGTTTTCAACTGTTAATCATTTTAAAACATTTAAAGCAGGCCGGGTTAACCTTAAAGTAGTACTCAACACTGATTACTGTCAAGACTTGCCAAATCCTTCATCACTTCAATTAGGATTATAATAATTAAATTTTAAAGCACAGAAATCAGACTTTAGAACCTCTTTATACTGTGAGATGCTTCTGAGGTTAAATACCGATTTCGAATTATAACAAGAAATAATTGAATAGCTATGATACTGTTTTAAAAAAAATCTAATCTCTGCCTTGGGGGAAAAAAACAGTTAAGCTTAATAAATAGCAGGGGAAAAGCGTTTTTATTATTATTATTGGTACATTTTAGTAGTAATAATATTAAGATTGTTTTATTATGAATATTATTTATGTATTTGTTTGTTTTATTTATTTAGCTTGACAAATTTTCTGTTGTGCGATACTGTATAAGAACCAAAATGAATGCTGCTGTGTTCAATATTTATTGCTGCTAAGCAATGTATTAGTGAAACATAATCTTGACTGTTTTGTCTTTGGTTCTCATTTCAGTTAGTTTGTTGTACTGTCAGTCATAGGAAGCATAGTTCTGTCTTAGTAATCAAGTGTAATATTTGTTATTTGTTCAGTATGCACTAGAAAACGAAGAGCTCACTCAGCATCTGGGAGCTGCTAAAGATGCCCAAAGAGCACTAACAGCAGAGGTAACACATGCACTCAAACGCACCAGCATATTCACATACTGTAATTCAACTAAAATGCCACCATATAACAGTTAATGTGTAACATAGGTGTGTGTTATCCTTTGAATTGTTTGATTTGAATTGAAACCCCGATCTGACTGATTAAATGAATTTTACTGCTGTTTTCACCTGCTATCAGTCTCTTTATCTCAGTCTTTATATCTGTTTCTTTCTGTAGCTGAGGGAGCTGGAGGAAAAGTATGCTGAATGTATGGAGATGCTTCATGAAGCTCAGGAGGAACTGAAGAACTTCAGGAATAAAACGCTGCCTCTCAGTACACCGCGACGATTCCACTCGCTCGGCCTCTTCCCCATGGTGAGAAATGGAGAACAACAAATTAATTTAATGTATTATTAATTTTCACAAATTGTTGACTTGGTATGTACTAAACGGTAAGCAGTACACTAGTATGATAAATATACTAATACACATACAATATCACTGTTATTTACTGGCTAATGGTGTGCCTTGTGTGTAACAGGACTCTTTAGCTGCTGAAATTGAAGGCACCATGAGGAAAGAGATTCAGATGTCTGATCCAGACGTAGAGGAACAAAGGTGTGTTAGTGTGTCTCATATCCTGCATGAGTTACGAATTTGCATGCTGAGTCAGTTTCGGCGGAATTTTAAGTATATTCTAATCTCTGTTACAAGGCATTTTATGTTTATTTTTTATTTAAATTTTTTAGCTTACTGGTTAAAGATCTGAGCTGATAACAGAATGGTTGTAGGTTCAAATCTTCTAAGGATGACACTGACCTCTGTACATGCTTGTCTTCTCCTTTTGGTCAGGTTGCACCCTAAACGTGTCTTTGAAACAGTGCGTAACATCAACCAGACTGTTCGGCAGCTCTCCATGGGCCCGTCCCCTATGAACATCCCAGGGTCCAATCAGACATCCTGTGTGAATTCCAGGCGTTCTAGTTGTCTGAGCACACCCAGATCGAGCATGTACGGAGGGGATGGTGTTGAAATGGACAACCGCACTAACAGTATGCTGATGGAAACCCAGTCAAATCAGGATGGGTAAGAGCATCAAACGTGGTTTTAAACCTTAAATGTTTAAGCAGTATGATAGAAATGCGTTGTGTGTGTTTGCTTAACTACTGTTTGTTGACAAATTTTTGTTTGGGGCTTGGTAAATGCACCAAGACTGCATTTATTTGATCAAAAATACTATAAAAACATACTGTAATATCATGAAATATTGTTATAATTTAAAATAACCGTTTTCTATTTTAGTATATTTTAAAATATATGAACAGCATTTACTGTATGTGAACTTTTTTAGAAGATGTCTTTTTTGTCATCCTTGCTAAATAAAAGTATAAATTATTTTCTTTGGAGAAAAAAAAACTTTTGAACTAGCGTATTTGCACTACCGGTAAAAAGTTTGGAATAGTAAAAAATTTAATAAATGATAATAATTGAGCACCAAATCGGCACATTAGATTGGTTTCTGAATAATAATGTCACTGAAGACGAGTGTGATGGCTGCTGGAAATTCAGCTTTGCCATCACAGAAATAAATGGCATTTTAAAAATATATTACAGTAGAAAACCGTTATTTTAAATTGTAAAAAATGTTTTGCAGTATTCCTGGGTTTTTTTGTTTGTTTTTTTGGATCCAATACATTCATCCTTGGTGAGCATAAGAGACTTCTTTCAAAAACATTCAACTATCTTGAAATGATATATAAGTTTTTTGTTTGTTTGTTTTAAAAGGTTTAGTTTGTCTGTTAACCTGTAGTATCTATAACTACTACTATATTGGTTATTGATTCGTCTTTAAAAACTCTAATAACTAAAAATGGATATCCATTTTTCCATACTTGTAGATTGACTTTAGTGTAACTTGTGTTTGTAGAAAAATATATAGAGAATTTCAGCCTTTTGTCATATATTGCAGTTATACTGTAACGTGAAAATAATTATTAGCTGACTGTCTTTGTTTGCAAGAACATTAATATTGATTTATTGGTTCTATTTATAGTGTCCCTATTATGGGTTATGAAAGGTTCATATTTTGGTTTTTGGAGTCCCCAACAACAGATTGACATGCATGCAAGGTCAAAAACACTTTCATTGTCTTATAATATGCATTTATTTTACCTTACTTGCTCAACGACTCCCAAACGATTCGCTCAACGATTCATTTTTCCAAACCCCTCCTTTGCGTGACGCTAATCTGCGGTGATTGGTCCGATTGGTCGCATTTTCATTTCATCATGCCTGTACTGCCAGATAAAGCAGCATTTGTGAGCACAGTGCTGCTTTGTGTACAGCGTTACTGGGGAAACAGCTATTTTTACCGCTCCAAAAGCCGCACCTAGTGGCAAAGAATGAATTTGCATTTTCATTCAGACCAACGTGAAAAGACCAGCAAGTGGGCGGGCTATATGCTAATGTTTCACGTTGACGTCAACATGAAATGGCTTGGGATTCGTTTTAAAAACGACTCGTTCCAATGATTCAGAGTCGACTCTTTCTTTTGAGAGACAATAACTTTGTACATGGTGCACTTTCTGATTTAAAACTTTGCAGGATGTTTTCTTTCACTTGGAGCTGTGTTACACACTGCATGAAAGATCATTTTCAAAAATCCATAATAGGGGCATTTTAAAACAATAGAATTTGTTATATCTTGGGGGTGTATGTGGGGGGAGGGGTGTAAGTTCTTTATTAGTCGACATTGGACCACACTGTATTGTTTGATTTTCTTATCTGTAATATTTGTTCCAGCTCTGATGACTCCAACAGAAAGCCTGGCACGCCTGGCACACCTGGCTCCCGTGACCTGGAGGCGGCACTGCGGCGTCTTTCCCTTCGACGGGACAACTACCTTAGCGAGCGACGTTTCTTTGAGGAGGAGAGAGAGCGTAAACTCAACGCCCTGGCAGAAGAGAAGAGCGACTTGTACGAAGAGAGAGATGGTGGGAGTGGCAGTGAAGACGGTGGCCCCCTCACTCCGGCAGACAGCATCATGTCTCTGGGAACCCTGCACTCGGTTTACTCCATCTACAGCACCCGATCCTACCTGCCGGAGAAACTCCAGATCGTCAAGCCTCTGGAAGGTGACCGAGCCCAATCCAGGCCTTTCACCCTCTTATTGTTTGATGCTCTGTGGGCGTTAATGCACCACAGTGCTGAGGACCTGTCTACACAACACTCCTTCTATTTCAGACACACACAACCTCGCTGCTGGTTTGAGATTTAGACGCCTCACACTATATATACACACTACTGGTCAAAAGTTTGGAATGAAGAAGATTTTTTTATGTTTTTAAAAGAAGTCTCTTTTGCTCGCCAAGGCTTGTGTTTATCAGAAATGCAGTAAAAAAACAGTAATATTGTGAAATATTTAAAATATTAGTAATACTTCAGTATAGGGAACAATTCTCACTATTAACTAGTTGATTAATAGCATGCCTATTATTAACATTTTGGCTGTTTATTAGTGCTTATAAAGCACATATACTATATGAACATATTCTACATCACTAATCCTACCCAATACCTAAACTTAACAACTACCTTGCTGACTATTAATAAGCAGCACATTAGGAGTTTATTGAGACAGAAGTCGTAGTTAATAGTTTGTTAATAGCGAGAATTGGACCTTAAAATAATGTGTGACCCTATTTTCTATTTTAATATATTTTAAAATGCAATTCATTCCTTTAATTTTCAGCAGCCATTACTCAAATCATCAGTGTCACATGATCCTTCAGAAATGATTCTTATATGCTGGTTTCGTGCTTAAAGAAATTATCATCATCAGTGTTGAATATATTTTTTGCTGCTTAATATTTTTGTGGAAACCATGATGCAATGCCATTCAAATGTTTTGGCAAAGTAAGATTACAAAAATAAATAAAGAAAAAAAAATTATAAAAATGACAGTTATACATTTATAATGTTACAAAAGATTTCTATAACAATAGAAAACACTCCTTAATGTTTCTAACGTAATCAATTTTCACAATATTACTGGTTTTACTGATCATATAAATGCAGTCTTGCTGAGCATAAGAGACTTTTCAAAAACATAAAAAAAATTATTTATTTATATATATATATATATATATATATATATATATAACACACACACACATATATATATATATATAATTATTTTTTTCCATAGAGGTAGTGCTAAGGTATATTTTAAAATAGTGTTTTTCATTCACTAAAAGTTAGAAACATGCTTGCTTCTTCAAAGCATATCTTTCACTTATTGTTTTTCATGAGGTCTATTATCAGCATCAACAACATGGTCATTGAATTCATTTAGTTTTGAATATCACTGCTGCAACAGATTGTTTGTGTCCTGGTTTTTAAATTTGAGATAACTTAACTGTAAACCAGTCACAGCCTTATGATTCATAATCATATCTCTAGCGACCTCTGCTGGATATAGTTAAAAGATAAACTAAGCTATGTGACATGGCCTACCCAATAGTAACGCTTATTAGGAATTGCAGAAAACTCAAAAGCATGTTAACAAATTATCAATGCTCTGATTTCGTTAATGTCTTTGAGTATGTTTTAAAAGGTACTAACAGGATATCTGATAGATTAGCTCCAGAGGAAGGATTTTTGAGGGATAGTTGGCTCAAATGTTAATTCTGTCATCATTTACTCACCCATATCACATTCCAAACCTGTATGACTTTCCTCCTTCTGCAGAACACCAAAGAGCTTATTTGAAAGAATGTTGGTAACCAGTGTATTTTGGTTACCATTGACTTTAACTGTATGGACAAAAACCCAAGAGGCATTTCTTTCTAAATATCTTATTGTGTGTTCCACCGAAAAAAGAAAGTCATATAGGTTTGGAACAACATGGATTTTCATTTTTGGGTGAACTATACATTTTTATATCTGTTTACTCCCAACATCTGTCAGTTTTAAGTTTGTGTGTTTGCATCCTTCTTTAGTTTTCTTACCTGTCTGTTTTTAGCTCTCTAATAAACAAAACTTTAATTTCCCCCTCCTTCTTTTTTTCTCTTTCTTTGCTTTAGTCCGTCCACAACAAGAGTCAAATGAGTATTATAGCTTTGGTTATATATCATGATATCTATTTCAGAGCCATTTTCAAAGGAACATATTGAAATGGATTAAGATTAACTAAAATGATTACTACAGGTTAATTTAATCCAAGACTATACACTATAATCTGAAAGGAACCCATAATTTACTCAATTCTTAATATTAAATAGTTTGTTATGAACTGAATGTATTTTTTTTATCATGTTATCAGTTAAATATGTATCTGCTGAACATCTGAACACATACTGTATATAATATAATATAATATAATATAAAACACATACTGAGTAATCTATTATTATAATTTTATCCCTAAAATGTAATGGAATGCAGGCATGCCTTAAATTACAAAGACTCTTGTATCTCTTGATATTACGGAGTTGCTAAAGTGTTTCTGGACTAGCCACTTTAGCAGCATTTAAAATACTGAACAGAAGCCCGGTATTTCGATCATGTCATGATGTGTTCATTCTTACCTCGTTTCTTTCGGAATGCAACAAATGCTAATTTGAAAACTTTTATGTCGCACTTGATGCACGTCACCATGCACTCATGATCTCAGTCTGTTCTCAGTGTTCTGTATGTTGTGTGGCATTTTTTTTAAATTTGTATCTGATCTCCACTCTTGTTTCCTCTACTTGTCAGGTTCGGCCACTCTGCACGCATGGCAGCAGCTCGCTCAGCCCCACCTGGGTGGCCTCCTGGACACACGGCCGGGTGTCGTGACCAAGGGCTTTCGACCGCTGGAGCTGGACCTGGAGGAGGTGTACCAATTCACCGACCTGGAAGAAGATGAGTCAGGACAGCATTCCCAATCCGCCATCTCTACCTCTTGCCTGGGCTCTCTGCCTTGTTCACCTGCATTGCGACGTCCTCGTGCCAACAATCCTGATAACCAGGAAGAGCAGCCCAGAGAAAATGGAGGGTCCCCTGTAGTGGGGCCAGATCAAATGGAGGCTGGAGAGGAGGAGGTCTCATCTGGTGAGGGACCCTCGTAACCCCACTAACCCTCCGGACAGGCTTAGGGGGGCGGGAACATAAAGCCTCACTATAAAACAGACGATGCCCTAGTGGAGTACCCATAAACCCCAGTTGTATTGTGCCTGTGAGGGCCTAGGATGAGCTGGTTCTCTCCTTGTTCAGCTGCAGGCACACACCCACTGCACATCATCCACTCACCCTGAAGACAGCTGCCATATTCTTTTGAGTATAGTCTTTTTTTTTACATTTTACTGTCATTCTGCCTGTCAGTCATCTCTCTGGCTCCTTGTGCTGAAAAAAATGAGAATTGAGCCTTTGGAAACTCTGGAAGGAAGTAAAATACTTTAAATATTAATAAATAATAATAAATGTTAATAAATAATATTTTTGAATCAAAATAAATTGGTATTTTTTTGCAGTTACATTTTAATTTAATTCATTACTAAATACAATGCAATAACATAATTCAATAACAACAATTTTATAATTATATTCATATACAATTGACATATATGTAATATGCAGCATATATTGTATTGTAGTAATGGGCAATCTGAATTATCCTAAAATATGCTTTATTTCTATTTATTTTATATGTATTCATTTTTTTGCAGACCCAGACATGGTCTTGACGGGCTTTCATTCATCTTTTAACAATTCACACCAAATCATTGATATTATATAAAACTGGTAGATCTACTCTACTTATACTTACAAATATGAGTATGATAATATGTGATCATTAGTACGAGCTTCTAGACTCAATTCTCATTTTCAGCACTAGTTCATTTCTGAAAGGCTCTTCTCAATCTCTCTTCATACCTGCATTACCAGAACACTGTTTCAGAGAGTATAAGGCCTGGGGGGGAACAACATTTATTTACTCTTTCTCTCCACACACTTGTCCCCCGATAAACCCGTATGTGAGATTTAGGCTGGTGTCCACCCTGAGGGCACAGAGTGTGATGTTCGATACTAAACTGTACAACACACATACACATCCCTGGATGCATTTAACACACACCATCACACATTCCCAACAGGAGCCCCAGCATGTAACTAACATCCAGCTAGAGTTCTGAGTGTGTTTAAAGGATAATGTTACAGAGTTCTATTAAAAACATGGAGGAGTGAGCCACTGTCATGTGAGTGAACAGACTCTAACGTCACTGGAAAGAGGTCACATTGACACCACATGTACACAAACACACTCCACATGCTTTCAATGTCAGGCTTGTCTACTACACAAACACACAGAAAGCCACAATTTAGGGTGTTAGACACGATGCTCACATACCTTCTGTGAATATCAGATGGCTTGAGTTCACTTGTAAATATCTAAGATCATACAGACAATTGTTTTTTGTTTTGTTTTGTTTGTTTTTGTTCTTTTTTTTTGTCTTTGCTTTTGTTTTGTTTTGCTTTGCTTTGCTTTGCTTTGCTTTGTTTTGTTTTGTTTTGCTTTGCTTTGTTTTGTTGTTTTGTTTGGGTTGAGGTGAATTATCCCTTTAATCATAACTGACAACTTTCTGCTGAGAATTATTGAAACAAAATGCCAGCTGCAATACAGGTATATAATATGCTTTAGCTTGTCTGTAATAATTGAATTTGATCTTCCCTCTTTCCCACTGTTCTCTCCTGCTGTGTGAAGCTATTTAAAACTGCATCAGGATGAATCATATGATTAAAACTTCATTTGTATGTAAAGATTCTAATTTAAGCCCAATAATAGCTTGCATTATGCCACATTACATTGCTTTAGCTCTCCTCAGATCCTGAAGCAGTTTTAACTACCTCTGTGTGTGTGTTTATATACTGTAAGTGTGTTTGTGGTGTTTTGTACTGATGTTTGTCTCTCCTTTCTTGCTCTCTCCAGTGCATTTCCCTGGTAAATGTATGTCTCACACCAGCTCCACGTACACCTTCACCACCTGCAGGATCCTGCACCCTACAGATGAACTCACCAGAGTCACACCAAGGTAAATACTGTGTGGTCTTTTCATAATACCATCTTAATAACTTGTTAGTATACATTATTTTATGGATCATATCAGACATTTTTTCCAAATACGTTGTCAGAAATATGTGCAAAAATTGTACCTTTAGGATTACAGCTTGTCATTGGAGCAGTCCCCTTATATCTACCCCTGAAAGGTACTAATGTGAAACTTTTATGGGTAAATAAGGTACAGAGTTGTCCCTTTGATGGTTCTGCACAAAACAAAAAAAATAATGGTCAAGCAAAAATTGGACAAAAAATCTATTCCCTAATGAAATCTGCTGACTTTCAGATGAGTGCGCATAGAAGGAATATCGCAGGGAGAAGCAACCTTTGGAACCGTAAAGCAACAAATAGGACGCCCTATGGTTTATTGGACAGTCTTAAATATGTAAATCTGTCTGTAAGGGTTCCAGACAAATAGCTTGTCTCTATAGCAAACATACTGTACAGCTGTGTGACTGGCTCTCTGCAGGTCATATGATGAGGATGATGAGGCGGCTCTCTATCATGTTGTTCTGGTGGCGGGTTTAGAGCAGACTCACTGAGCAGAGCCCCCTGGGGGTGAGGTGGAATAGCATGACCAGCCTAGTGCTGATTAGACCTTGTGTCATGAGAGTGTGCTGTTCTCTAACCAAACACAAACCACTCTAACTGACCTGAGGGATTTTTTTAACCTAACACCAGAACTTTTTTGTGGAAGACTTTATGCAGTATGACGTAACAAATGTTTGTGTAAATAACACACCGTGTATGAATCTATGATTATATCTGTGTGTATTGTAAATGAATACTGTAAAATACAGTATACTACTTGGTTAATACTTTAAATTACTGTAGAATGCATGAAGGAGCAGAATGATAACAGAGCCATGATGTGTCCAATCAAACAACTTAATATATAAATACTGTGAGGTTTGATGTCAGCAGGATGTTAATTTATAATCAAAGGAATTTGCATCCAAAATAATATAT